GACGTGAAGGAGAGGTACTGTGTAAAACAGAGAGATAATCTGGATTGCTGTGCCTTCCTCACTTGTATCAGACTCATGCAAAATAAACATCTGCAGTGTACAGCTCTGTTCTGCTGGAAGCATCCACATCCAGCTGTAGGAAACTCCTTTCACAGTTAAACAGGTGACATGAGCAATAATGAGTTCAACCCCAAAAAAGAGGGACATTCAAAATACAAAATACCTATGTCATGTCTTAGACAGCAGATTCTAGAAGCTAATAGTTAACACAAATGCCACCAGTAATTGCGCAGATATTATTATCATTATGAACCTCTTGTTTTACAGATTGTGGCTGACAGAATCATTCTGCAAAAGTTGATGAAGTCTGCAATGGCCACAGAAAGTTACAATGCAATCAGGGCTGCTGTAAATGAGGCAGAAATGTTTGATATGGTTGAAAAGATGAGCCTAAATTCATACTAATTTTAAAATCTATATAAAATACATCAGAATGGACTGAAGCTGGGTACGGAGGAATTTGTGGTTTACCTATCATTTAAAATAGCAACAGGCAGAGTAAAAGAGCACACAGGTAAAAACTAAATTTCACATAAAAACTATATTACAGGCAATTTTATAAGAGATGAGTAATATTATTCCTGGATTGAGCAGTCATTCAAGCAGGAGAAGTTTTGTGGCCTAGTCTGCCTCAAGACGATTTACATCTTAAACATCTTTGGGTACAGGCTCTGAAGAAATGCTTTGGGATTGCACACTCGATTCCCTTCCCTGATCTGTGTTGTATGCTGGTTGTCATCAGTAAAAGGAGGCCAGAGCTGCCTTCCACAGGTACCACCGTTTGGGGTGTTTCATGTTGTAGAAGCTCAGCTCAGGGTTGCATACATTCAACATAGAATTACCATGTGTCAGACTGGCACTGTGCAAAGTTACTGTGGCTAGGAGACAGAGTCACCTGCAGAGTGGCACTGCCAGGCTGAAAACAATGAGCTCTGCTGAAAGAAGAATGGAGTTCGTAAGAGTTATACATTACTGACTTTTTTCCTTCTGAGGAAGAGGAATCAGTACAATTTTAGCACAAAACCAAAAGATGACAGATCATGTTAGAATAAGACAACAATATCCTCATACAAAATATGGAAGGGAACTCAATTCTTATAATACCTTATTCCATAAAAATAACTGTCTTCACATTTAATAAAATCACACCAGCTGCTTCCTCCTCATTCTACCTGTCCTCATCCTGTAGGGGTTCCAACCTGGACCATGTGCAACCTTCCTTCTAGTTAAAAGAAGCAGCTATGCAAAACAGTAATTGCATTTTTACATCTCTCTGGACAGTATAGTGTATCAGGCAAATGCATCTGTAAGCCTGCAGTTCTTCCAAACAGTAGTAAAGATCATCAGTGTTACACATCCAATGCCACTGCACTCTCCAATTGCAAGAGAGGACAGTGATGATAGAACCATTATTTAAAGACTAAGTTATTACAAATTTTATTGGAATTCAGTTGAGTCATAGTTATAAATTTACTGGTGTAAGTATTCTAGAGATATCATCTATGGCAAGGCCAAAAGAATTTACAATACTGTTAAGTGTTAAAACGAAGTCATAAGTAACAGTGAATTGAAACATTTGGGTTTTGTTCGTATGCACTATGCATTTCTGGGCTAAGCTTCAGACATTTAGAGGGTATAAAATAACAGAAGCTGTTGGGGTTTTTTTAAGCTCATGCATATTATATACAGTCAAGGCAACGGAATTCCTTATGGCTGTAAACCAACTGTTTTTCTAGTTTGACGCTACAAATAGCTCTGTCGACAAATTAAAGTACTTTAATACTAATGGCAGCGAGCCTGCTCTTTACTTAGGACATTTCTCCTTTGAAAGGCATTACTATCTTTTCAACAAGCATTGGATCTTAAGGTATTGGAGAAGTCTGTTTAAGTGGGAAAACAGAACACTCCAAATGCTCCAATTTTTACTGATATTTACAAAGCTCAGACATCTGAATACGATTCTGTTATCAACCATTCTGTTATGTTCTGTGACCTGTAAGCATTCAACACAGCAAGAGATCTAAATGCTCCTAACACTAGACAGGACAACTTTGAAAGTTAAACACAAAATCTCTGAGCAGCTATTTGCTTGAGTGAAATAAGTTTACTCTCTGGTCAGAGATGAACTCACTGGGAAAACATCAGGAAACTTAGTATGTTATCTTCTTAACATTTCATTCAATGTGAAAAAGTTTAATGGACTATGGCTCTTAACTAATTTTCAGATACAAAATCATATTTTATTAAATTTTAATTAAATCATGAGTTGATACTTAGAACACTGAAAGCTAAAGATGACCCATTAGGGGAAAATAAATTGTAAACTCATTTTTACAGCTCAAAAAAGCTGACCAGACTCAATGATGACCACATTGCTTGTTGATATCAAGTTTTGTATTCTGCACTTCCTAGCAATCTCCTTGGAAGATCAGGAATCAAATTGTGTGCACCCACTAAACTTACAACCAGCTACTTTTGAAAATCTGGGGAATATTCACATCCAGAGTCTTTCTAACATATGCCAAACTTAAGCACTGAGCTGCTCCCGTTTCAGAATAGTAACAACATATTACCGAGAAATGTTGAACTGGCACAATGATATTTAGAAATCCCACCTTTTGCTAGAGAGGAAGGAAAGGATGAAAACAGGACATCCATCAGGTTAACAGGAAAAGCAGGGAAAAAGCCTGACTAGAAGTACCCAACTTTGCAATGAACATATTCCATTCAGTAGCCAGCTGAGAAACACACTTAATTGGGTTTCTAGACAAGACTCCAGATATCTATGTCTGCAATTATTTCTGCATTTGTTCTTTATATTTAATATCAAACCACAGAATCATACAGTCACAGAATATCTTGAGTTGGAAGGGAACTATAAAGATCATGGAGTCCAACTCCCTGATCCTTGCAAAACTACCTAAAACTAAAGCATATGACAGACCATTGTCCAGACACTCCATGACCTCCTGACAGGCTCAGCGCCATGACCACTTCCCTGGAGGCCTCTTCCAGTGACCAACCACCCTCTCAGTGAAGAACCTTTTCCTAACTTCCAACCTGAACTTCCTCTGATGGAGCTTCATTCAATTTCCTCATGTCCTATCACTGGTCATGGGAGAGAGGAGATCAGCACCTCCCCTCCGCTGTCTGCCTTGAAGAAGGCAGTGATGTAGGAAGGCAGTAGACTGTGATGAGGGGTCCCCTCTCAGTGATGAGGTCCTTCCTCAGCCTTCTCTTCTGCAAGTGACCTCAGCTGCTCCTCAAGACTCTGCTTGAGTCTTGCCCTCGAGGGCTTTCACCATTTTGGTCACCCTCCCCTCTCATAGCCTGGTGTCCTTCTTGTATTGAGGTGCCCAAAACTGCACCCAAGACTCGAGGTGGGGCCACACCAGTGCAGTGCAGAGAGGGACAATCTCTTCCCTCGACTGTGCTGTGCTGTGCTTGATGAACCCTAAGACATGCTTGGCCCTTTTGGCTGCCAGGGCACACTGTTGACTCATATTCGATTTGCAGTCAACCCAAACCCCCAGATCTCTTTCTGTGGAGCTACTCTCCAGCCTCTCATCCCACAATTTGTACATATAGCCAGGATTACCCCATTCCAAGTAGGGAATAGGTCACTCGCTCTTCTTGAATTTCATACTGTTTGTGACTGCCCAGCTCTCCAGCCTCTCCAGATCGTTCTGTAAGGTCTCTCTACCCTCGGGGAAGTCCACAGCTCCTCCTAGTTTACTATTGTCAGCAAACTTATTTAATGTACCTTCGATTCCTGCATACAGACCATTTATAAAAACATTAAAGAGCACTGGCCCCAAAACTGAGCCCTGGCGAACCCCATCAGTGGCTGGCCACCAGCCTGATGTCACCCTATCTACTATAACTCTGAGCCTACCCTGCCAGCCAATTGCTCACCCATTGTATGATGAACTGGTCTAGGCAGGTGCTGGACAGTTTATCCAGAAGGATACCATGAGAGACAGTATCAAAAGCTTTGCTGAAATCCAAACCCATCACATCTATTGGCTTCCCTTGGTCAACTCAATGGCAGACCTTGTCATAAATGGAAATTAAGCTGGTTAAGCAGGACTTTCCCCTCGTGAACCTGTGCTGGCTGTGACCAGTGACTCTGTTGTCTCTCAACTGCTTTTCAGTAACTCCCAGAATAACCTTCTCTATAATTTTATCAGGCACTGAAGTGAGACTGACAGGCCTGTAATTACCAGGACCTTCCTTCTTACCCTTCTTAAAAACTGGGGCAACATTTGCCAGCCTCCAGTCAACTGGGACCTCTCCAGACTCACAAGAGCAATGAAAAATGATGGAGAGAGGTCCCATGATGACATCAGCCAGTTCTTTCAGTACCCTGAGATAAATCCCATTGGACCCCACATCTAGCTGGAGCAGCAAGTCTTGAACAAGTTCACGTTGGCTGGGAGTTTATCATCCCGCAGTCATGGTCCTCCAACACAGGGCTTCAGGGGTCCCAGGGCCCATCATCAATGCTAAAGACAGAGGTGAAGAAGGCATTAAATGTCTCTGCGTTGTCTACATCCCTATTTGTGATGCCAAACAAACACCATTCCTGCCCTGAACAACTCTGCCACTAATTACAGGTAGAATAGGGCAAAAGTCAAGCACTTCCAGGGCCATCCATGGAAATTAGGTGCTTGTTTTGTACAAGATTGTTTTGCACTGAAGCAATACTTATGAGATGCTGTGTAACTAAAGGGAAGATTCAGTACACATCTTAAAGAAAATCTCTTCTTAAGCAGACTGCAGGGAATGTAGCTAGAGAAGGGAGGGGACTGCTGGATTACAAATAGTGTCAGAATCATTTTCTGTGGACTGATACATTTTACTTTGCTGCTCAGCCAGGATTTTCTTATTCCCCATTTTGTATTATTTTAACTTTATGCTCACTTTTTATGTTTCCCTAGTGCAGTTTGACATGATGCGTGCTTGCAACCTCATTGCCACTGTTGCTCTGACTGCTGGCCAGCTTATCTTCGTCCTGGGCCTGATGGAGCTGCCTATCATTTCCCAGGATACCCAGTGGTGGGAGGAGGCCATAGCTGCCGTGTTCCAACTTGCCAGTAAGTCCATTTCTTTTTACTGATAGAAAAATACTTTGTCTTTACTAAATCCAAGTCAAAAAGAGTTTCTTACTTTATGAATCTTTCAAGTGGCAAAGGATAGGCCAAAAGGCCTAAATCTAAAAGTAAGCTCATTGTCTCTTAAAAGCTTTCCCCATGAGATTCTGCAGTACATGAATAGGAGCTTTTATCTTGGATATATCAGAATGAGTCTTCTGCCAACCAAGAAAAACAAGCCTTTATTATTTCCTATGAAACCAGGAAGGCAAACATGAAAGAAATTCACTGGATGCAAAGTAATCCCCCAGTTTAGCAGAACAAAATATACCAAAGGCTTGGCATAGCTGAAAGCAGAGCAGAACGGCTGAGGAAAGTTTTGAAGTCTTGCTAAAATATGATTATTTGCTTTTAGCTAACTAATTGTACTCAAGGACCGTCAGCTGGATTTTGATAGACAGACATGTCTGCAATCTAGCAAAGAAAGCTGGAGTCAATTCACAACATTGACTGCTATAAATAAAATTCCCACAGTAGCTCTCATGGACACAGACTGTATACAGAAATGAATAAGGAAAGGAGGAAATGGTTTTATCACAATTCCATGTTGACAGCAGTGACAATGAACTGTAAACTTTTTGCAATAATGCCTTTCTTTACTACATAAAGTCATTCATTATAGCAAGAGTCTGATCCTGTAAAATATCCATGCACGAAACTGTCATATATGGAGTAGAACATGCAAGCTGCTTATAAGATCAGCTTAAAAATATATATTGTTATTAATGCAAAGAGCAGGTTATTTTTCTTTAAATTTTTATTTCAGCTTTAAAAACTCAGACTATTTAGAATGGTGTAAACCTGCTGAGACCTCAGGTTTATACTGCTGCATGATCAGAATCTAGCCTAGGTCATTGAAATATGGTGCTCAGCAGTGAACACCCATTAAGGATGATGAACATGAAAGCCAAACAAGAGGAGGAGACTCAAAGCATCTGATCCAGCCTCAAGGAGCAGAGAGACCCTCAAGCATCAGCCAGTGCTACCAAGAGACAGATAAAACCTTGCCATAACAAGATTCCCTACAGCCTTTTCATGTACACCATGGTGTTTGTAACTCTGGATACCTTAGCTCTCCCTGATGATTGGTGTGATGCCTGCTCAATTCTTACTCCTTCCCCTCCTCTCCAAAACTTGACACGTCTGTTTTTCCCAGAGCGGAAATGCATTCTGGCCCTTTTTAGCTGTGTTGTTTCATTGACAAACAGCACAGGGGACAGTCCTGGGCCTTTCTTCTATCAGGGCTGCTAATTTTAGACTGGGATTTTTTTCTTACTTTTTTTTTTTTTTTTTCCTGTGCTGAGGTCTGTTTTAAACACAGTCAGAGAGAGACTGAAGGGCGCCAGGATATCCCGACACAGGAGAAGGAAATGCCTGCTATTACCTGTTATGCAAGCTGAACCTTGAAATCCCCAGTGCTGGGAGGGGAGAGGGGAGGGAAGCAAGAGTCAGAATGATTAACAAAACACTAATGAGAACCACTGAAGAAGCTGTTGAATCAAGGAGTTCATCTGGCTGCCTGTGTTCAAAAGGTGTGAAGAGATGGATCTGGCAGCTCATGACAGTTACAGAGACAGACATTGTGCTGTGTGAATCAAAGGTCTCCCATCCACAGAAATAATGCAGTGATTCCGTTGGCTATCCCTGCCCCTCCTCCTCATCCTCCTCTGCAGTTATGCCATGCTCTCCTTCACCATCATTAGATGGTTTTCTGCCTCGCAATCAGTAACATGATACTCATTTTCCATCTCATTATCTTAATGAAAGTTTTATTTTAAACAAATTCCTTCCTGATGGCCAGAACAATCAGCTGAAGTCTTCTGGAATGTGTACTTTAAAAAAAAAGAGGGAAGGAGTCATCATGTCTGCCATTATCCAATATAAAATAGACTTCTTGGAGACCTCCCTAGTTTTTCAGTTGTACATCAGCTGCTGACTATTGGGTAAACAGGGGCCTGTACCCCCAGGACAGGCAGTCCAGAGTACAGCTTGCACTGACAGAAGAGGCTGTTTCCACTGTTGTAGAACCCAACACATGCTCTGTAATGTTGAGCCGCCTAAGCTGGCCACAGAATCACCTCCATTCACCAAATTCCCTGAATTGGACCCAGGCAACAGCATTTTATACATTATGGTTGAAATGTCTTTGTTATCAGACAAAATCCATGTGCAAACTGTGAACAAGCCCAATGTTTCTGTGGCTCTGATGAAGGATTGATGCTATATTGCTGCTGTATCTAGAGACCAAGATTTCTCTACTGAAGGAGAGGAAAGCCCCTCATCCTATCAGCCACAGGTAATACTCAGCCTCTGAGCCTCCACTCTGATTGGAACCTCTCATCTATTTTCAGAGCAGCAATATTAGGCAAAACCATGAGAACAATGGATACACAGCTTGTATTTAAAAGTACTTTGTCCATGCAAAAGAAATCACTGCTAAGCTCTCTCCTACTTCATTTTAAGGGTTAAAGCCAAGGTAGTCTAGGCCAGACAGATCTTTTATGTGAGAAGGGCAAACAATATTTAAGATCTACATACTTAGCTCTTGTTAACTATTTCGTGAGGACTGGCTGGGTAACTTCTGTTTATTACACTTTCAAATATCATACTGAAAACACAAGCACCCCTTTTTTTCCTTAAAAAAAAAAAAATCCAAACGATCTGAAGAACTTTTTGGCAGTTCTTCATCTTGTCAGTAATTTCAGAAAGAATTGCCTTGAATCATGTCCCCTCTAATTCCAACTTCTGTTGGAATCTCTATCTTTCAGACTGCAATATGCCAAAAAAAGAGAGAACCAGTCACCTGTAGAATGAAATCTACTATTGTGGAGGAAGGCTTGAGTATATGGTTCCGAATAACAAAGTCACCTCACACTTTTCTTATATTCAGTCAGAGTTTATCTACTGAAACATTATGAATGGGTTTCATCACAGTTTCCCAATGTCTGAACAAAAGTCCTTTTTGTTTTAGAAAACTAAGTGTACCAAGTATTCTCTTTGAGCCCTACCACAAGTTGAAATCACCCATCTCTGATCCCACTGGAGCCTGCAATGACTCCAGGCTTTGCTACTTTTTCACTCCTGCCACCTGCAAAAGCATTTGACAGTCATTCAGAAAGGATGGACCTCTGACAGAAAATAAAGCCCCAGGAAGCAAAGAGGAAGGAAAGAAGAGAGGAAACAGCACTGCTCCTGAGACAGCAATGGGATTCACACAGCTCCACAACGTTACACTTCCCTGTTAACAGGAAAGTGAGCTGTTTGCTTTGGAAAAGGCATGTGGTGAAAATGGAACCAGCGTTGTATGTGGAATTTTGTGTCAATGCTCAGAAACTTCCCTCCAGAGGGTTTTGGGTTTTCTGTTTTGTTTTTTGCTTGGTGGTTTGGTTTTTTCCCATGGGGTTGTTTTTGGTTTTGTTTGTTTGTTTTTCTTTTTTTTCTTTTTTTTTTTTAATTTCCCCCCCCCACCCCGGAACTGTTACCGACTCCATGTGCTGAATATAGGATGAATAACAGAGCTGACAGAAGATCAGCTGGAAAGGGAAGCTCATACTAAGAGGATAGGCAATAAAGAGCACTTCAGAGAAAATTAAACTTCTACAAGCAGTAACCTGCCAGACTGTATCAGACCTGAAGGGACTCCAGCCAAGCCTCTGACCTTGTACAATGGTGATTATCACAGACTTTAAAGTGAAATGTTTGAAACATAATAGGGAAAATCCAGGATATAATATCCCTTACATTAGATCTCATCCAAGTTTTTGGAAGTCCAGTATTGGAATAAACCTGAATCATCATGATTAATATTCTTGCAAATCCATATTCAGCATTAAATTACTTCAGTACGTTAGATGAAGATTAATCATGAAGATTAAAAAGTTCTGCATTCCTACTGAGCTTGTCATTTACAGCTAAATAAATTACAATCTCACCTCTCTTGAATTTCAAGCATTGCATTCCAGCTTTTCCTACTGTATTTTTCTGCTGACAGTGTATTTTACTCTAGACCCCAACAGGTTACAGGAAATCGGAGTTTTCCCATACTCTCATTTCTGTGCTACTAAGCTGAAATCAAACAATTTTTAGGCCATTTAACTTCTTTCTGTGTGCTACTACTTTAGATTGGTTGATTTCCAGAAAATCTTAATACAGAATAGATCAGCAAAGCAGCCATTTGGAAAATATAGCTGAAGATATCCACGACAGCAGTGTGATTTTGATTTCTGTATTACTTCCTTCCACCTTTTTCCTTCACAACACCCTCAAGCCAGATCTGTTCTAAGATGGAATCTATGAAGCTATAAACTTAATATTTCCTGAAAAGGAAGCAAATAAATGAGATACTGTAAATAACCTAAAAATCCTATCAAAGAGAGAGAACTTAATTGCTTAATTTATGCTAAATGTTTTCATTATTTCACGTTTTTATTTCACCTCAGTGCCAAACTTGCTTGTTCTTTATGTGGGCTGCAAACATCACAATAAAGTGATCTTTTTTTCACATGTTTGCAAAGATCTTAAAATACAGAAGCCTATCCCACTTGTGTTGACTGAAATGGTTCACGTGACCAGGTGAAACAGCAAACTGGTGGTAGCTCAAAGAACTACGTTGAACCCAACTGACCTGTGTATGTTCATGCCTGAATACTGATATATGAGTAGCAGGTGATTTTTTGTATTATCTCAATGTCAAGGGCACATATTCTAATGAGAAATATGGTAACAAATGTATCAGCAGACAAACATCATTTGGATGTGCAAGTACAGGAACATGTTTTACAACAGACACAGCATTAGAAATAATGCAGTAATGCAGATAGAAATGTGTAAAATGAAAAGTTCTTCAAATATTCACTTCATTGCTTACGAACATGCATGTTAAATATACACAGAGATGTCTCCTAGCTAGATCCCAAGTTATACAACTCTTCGATGCATCAGGA